CTGGAGCCTGACTCATGCCTGAATTGGGGATCAGGGCAGGCTTCCTGGAACAGGTGACCCAGCCAAGAGAAGAACCTGAGCAGAGGCCTGGGCTGAAAGGAGGTGTCATGCTGAGGACCCACCATTCTGTCCGCAGAGGGCGGAGGAGCCACCGGAGGAGGCCGAGACAGCTGGGGGTTTAGGGTTCTAGAAGGTGACAGGGAGTGGTGGTGGAAGGACGCAGACAGGAGACAGCCAGAGGCACTGATGTTTACTAGTGTGTTCTGGCTGCCCTGCAGAGCACGAGCAACACAGTTGCTGAAACCTTAGGAAGGGACAGGTGCAGGGCTGGGTGTTCCCCTCGTGCCTGGCAAGCACTCAAATCAACTGTCCAGGGAATCTCCAATTACCTTGTGCTGGGTGCCCAGGTGTCCTCAGCACCCCAGGGCTCTGGACACAGGGTTATGGTGCCCAGAAACGATGCAAAGAGTGCTGAAGAAGTGTTTCCCACAGGAATCCTGCCTGCCCCTCCGGGAAAGGCCAAAGCTCCCAGGAAAACCAGTGCCGCCGACAGCAAGAGTTCCAAACCCACAGCCAGAAAGGTGGGTGCCAAGGCGGGGAGGCAGTGTTGGGTTTCTTGTAAAGCACAGTCCACCTGCCTCTCTCTGGCCCACCAGCACCTAGGGGAGTTGCCATCCCCACTTCATAAATGAGGGCCTGAGGCTCAGAAAGGCTTAGCCAAAGCCATCCGGAGCTGGCATCTCACACACACACGCACACACACACACACTCTTTCTCTCTCTTTTTCTGTGTGTGTGTGCATGTCTGAGCTGTGTGACTGGCCCAACCCAGCTCTGGCTCCAGTTCTGGTTCCCTCTTGCAGGTCAAGAACAGTGGTGTTGCTTCCCCGACTAAGAAGAAGACAGCAGCCAAGGCCCCTGAAGTGGCAGCAGCCTCAGGGCGTAAGGAGAGGCCCAAAGCCAAGGCCAGCACTTCCACTAAGGGCCAAGGGTCCAAGACTGGGTATGCACACCTGGCTGGGGAGCCAAAGGCTCCCAGAAATTCGAAAAAGCCTGGGCTGTCTGCCAAGGCCTCAGCACCCAAGGCCTCAACATCCAAGAAGGCGAAAGCCAGGAGCTCGGGGCCCAGCTGAAGAGGTGCAGGCCAGCTGTGATTTTATCTTCCACAAAGCATCCCTCTATTTAACAGTGACCTATTTATTAATAAAGGCTCTGCTTCTTTGCAAATGGGTGTTGGTAGAGGCTGTACTTGGCCACTTGGTGCCTTGTCGGCACCTACTGAGTACCGGCTGCTCACCTGACAAGGCAGGTTGGAAGAAGTTAGCAGCTGAGGATTTGGCCCTCAGGATGGACAAGCAGCCCTGGGAGGTGGGTTGATCCCAGCCCTGAGATCTGGGTCTACTGCCAGGAAGAGGAGGTGGCTTTTGGCCTTAAAGGCTAAGTAGCAGGTGCCACACACATGGAGGAGAGCCGGGCCTTACAGGCAGAGGGCCCTGTGTGAAGGTTGAGGTTGGAAGGTGTGGCTGAGACAGGAATGTCAGGGAGAGTGTGCAGAGATGCACCTTGTCTTGGGGGGCAGGGGGAACTGAAGAGGGTCATCACAGGATGTGGTATGTTGAGAAAGAGGTGCTGTGGAAGGGAGCTGAGGCTTGTGGGACTGTTAGTCACAGTACCTTCTGGGGGAGGGTCGGGGCCAGGCAGGCCTAGGAGCTGGCTGATGCTTTGGGGAGAGCAGGAAAGGCGTCTCTGAGAAGGGCCAGGAGACAATGTTGTGGGGAGAAGATTGTGGCAGCTGGCGGCAGAGAGATGTGCAAAGGCCCTGGGGTGGGAGCATGGTTGAAGGCTCAGGCGGCTAGATATTGGCAGTTGTGGAGATGCACCCCTCCATGGTGCCCTGGCTGTATCCGGAACATTCCTCCCATGAGTGACGGAGTCTGAGTTCCTGTCCCTCCAGCTGCTTCAGCTCCCTGCCTTCAGAGATCAGCTACTTTCCTTTTATGTTTTCTGGTTGGTTTTTTAATGTGCTTTCTCTTATAACTCAGCCATCATGCTATGCAGAAGTCCACACAATTGTGGAAAGGATCTGAGGCACCCCAACGTTCAGTCCCCCGCAAGTTCTCTGACCAGTTCGCTCTGACCAGGACTGTGAAAGGTCCATCTTTCAGTGCTAGCTGAGTGGCCCTGGCTACCACCTCGTAGAACAGGACCAGCCTTCCCCACCAGGCCTTGCCCCACCGGCTCCCCGATGATGCACCTGGAAAAGCAGCTCAGGATGGTCTGAGTACTTGGGCCCCTGTATTCACATGGGAGACCTGGAAGAGAGTTCATGGTTCCTGGCTTTGGCTCGACCCAGCCCTGTGGGGAGTGAGTCAGGGGCTAGAAGACCCCACCCTTTCTCTGCTATTGCCTTTCAAAATAAATATTTTAAAAATAAGCCGGGCCTAGCACGATAGCCTAGTGACTAAAATCCTCACCTGAATGCACTAGGATCCCATATGGGCTTCGGTTCGAATCCCAGTAGCCCCTCTTCCCATCCAGCTGCCTCATTGTGGCCTGGGAAAGCAGTGGAGGATGGCCCAAAGCCTTGGAAGCTTGAACCCATGTGGGAGGCCTGGCAGAAACTCCGGGCTCCTGGCTTTGGATTGGTTCAGCTGTAGCCATTGTGGCTGCTTAGGGAGTGAATCAATGGACAGAAGATCTTCCTCTTTGTCTCTCCTCCTCTCTGTATATCTGACTTTGCAAAAAAAATTTTTTTTCTTTTTTTAAAGCCAGCAAAGAACCGAGGGCCAGGTTGGCTGGGAAACTGAGGTGGTGGTCCCTCTGGTCTTGGGCTGCCTCCATAACCGAGTCACTGACAGGTGCTGGAAGCTACTGGCAGCGGTGAATCGGCAAGAGCAATGGTGCTGGGGGTTAATCATCAGAATGAACCATTAGGACAAAGCAAAGTGGAGGGACTGCAGGGGACATGGCGAAAGGGGGAAGCCAGGATGGAGGACAGTGACAGTGAACGCAGGTGATAGTGGCTCTAGTAGGTGGTAGGGGAGGTAAGAGGTATGCTGCTGTTGTGCAAGGAAGCAGGGGTGAAGTGTGACCCCAGCAAGGGGCTGCCTGGATGAGGTCTCTGCCCTCGGGAAGAGGAGATCTGTGCCAGGGAGGGGGGTGGGCTGGAGAGAGTTGAATGGGGGTCAGTGATGGGTCTTGGGAAGGTGAGGCAACAGGTGAACTGAAGCTGACCAAGGAGTTACTCCCTTAGGGACTCTCCCTATAGCTTTGCCTGCCTGTGCCTGTGATGGCTTCCCAGGAGGTGGCCCCAGGAGCATCACGAGCAGATGGTGAGGCTGGCACTTCTCTGTAAGGGCCTGCCTTTGCCTAGCCTGGCAGTGGAGGAGCCGCCTTCCCTGGGTGACACAGGAAGCATTAGACCCTGGTTAGTCACCACCCCCTCCCCCAGGGCATGCAGCCCAGTCTTCCTTGACCCTCAGATGGGGATTCGGCACCTCATCTAGGGCCCACAGCTGCCAGGGCTCCAGACCAGGGCAGGAGGGAGCCCGGGGAACTGGGATACCTACTCCATGCTGGGAAGTGACCCCCGAAAGTGAGGCTGCCCCCACTAGTGAACATATCTCTGCATTTCAAGAAGGAGCCGCATGTTAATCAGACATTAAGACAGGCTGCGGAATACTTAATGACATCCAAAGATGTTCCTGACATATTGGTGCATGGCAGGGGGGAGGGGCAGAATCAGGTGGCAAAGCTGTCTTGTCCTCTCGGATTCTGGTTCTGTTCCTTGGTGCCACCCACATAAGCCCGGGATCTGGAGCCTGGTTTTGGTGCCATCAGCCTTGCCAGGGTCAGCGGCTTCCACTCCCTCCCTGGTGTGTGTGTGCTCCCAGGGCGACAAGTGTTTCATGCAAGAATCACACCCTCCCCTGTGCCAAAAATCCTATCAGTTGAGATGATCACTTCAGCTAGAAAAATCTGTTGCTTAATAAGAAGGAATCAATGCACAGAATAGAAAGTTCCAGAGCTAAAGCAGCTCTCCACCCCAAGCCATTAGGGAAGGAAGCTATTTTTAAGGCGAAAGACTGCTTGCTTTTCACCTTGCCGTTCCGTGCTCATTAATTCTGGAGCTGGTATTTTGTGGGATTCTGTTTAGATTTCACAACTTTTTTTTTGTTGTTCTAGTTCTTGATAAGTGTGTGTCTTGCTGTTTTGCCTTTCTAAAATGAAACCAGTGACTGAAGTTGCTGTGAATTTGGAGGTGGGCTTTCCTGTGGCTGGGGGATGAACATCTTCCCCAGGCCTGGGGCCAGGTGGGTGGGCTGGAGGGGTGTGTGTGTGGCATCCACCACTCCGATTCCTCATTGTCCCACAGGGAATGGTGTAGGGTGACGCTGGCGTTGAAGAAAGTACTAGTTTCTTGTACTGAAAACTGGGGTTCAGGATCCATGTTGTTTAAGGTCAGTGAGAAGTTCAGGACCACTACGTGAAAGTCACTTTTGACCCTCCATTCCTCTGGGGACCACTGTGGGGACTCCAGCTTGAAGGGAGCATAGAACAGAAAGAGGAAGAGCCTGTGTAGCCTGCACCAGGCTTTCCCGCTCCCTTGCTGGGGAATTCCCCAACCTCCTCAGACACTCTATTTTCCCCATCTATAGGCAGGGTCCACAGGACATGCCTCTGAGACCTGTTACAAAGAATAGAGCCCACCCCATGGCAGGCAGCACCCAGCAGCAGGGCTAGCTTCCTGGAGGTTCCATGGGTGCCCGTGGATCGCAGGGAGCACCTACTGTGAGCCAGGCTCACAGCATGCACCTGTGTGTGCAGCCACAGTACCTTACACTTTCTACTCAGCCTCCTGTTCCAAGCTTAGCCAGCTGTCTACAGAAGCCCCAGACCCCATGGCAGGCACCAAGGGTTCCTTCTCCCCTCCCCCTGCGCAGCACTCCCCCGCATCTTAGGACAAAGGCCGGACGGAGCCCACAGCAGGTTTTCCCCATCAGACTTTTATTATAAAGAAATTTCCAGAGAGTCCTGCCCCTACCAATCCTGCTCCAGGGTAGGGGTGAGGGGGACTGCGAATCAGGCCAGCACTGGCTGGGGGACCGCAAGAGGGCCCTTGGGGGCCAATGCTGCAGAACGGGGCGGGGAGAGCTTTCTCAGGGTGCGGAGGGTCTCTGCCAGGCAGGCCACTCCGGAGCAGCCATTTCCAGTGTTGCATCAGGTGGGGGAGCCCTGGGGGCCCCTCCCCAGGTCCTCTGCAGGTGGCAGCTATTCACAGTTGGCGCGCAAGAAGGGTTGGTTTTTTTTTTTTTTTAATATATAAAAGCTTTGTTTTTTAAAAAACAACAGTGACAACAAAAAGTGGTGCTATCTTTAGAAACACTTCCAGCAAGTTTGAGTAGCCCAGCTACAGCCTTGGTGCATCTCAACCCCTCCCCCTCCCGGAGGTCAGCAGCCTCCCACCTCGGTGCCAGCCCCTCTCCCTCCATCTCTTCGGCCCCCTGCCTCCTCTGGGGCAGTGAGCACTGCCTACTCCACCAACACCATCCACCCGTCTGCCCACTGCCAGGGGCCCCTCTGGGGGCAGGAAGTGGAGCAGGGTGTATCAGGTGGCTGAAGCAGAAACTGATGGTGGGCTGGCTCAAGGAGGCCTCCCCTTGCAACAGTGTGGATGAGGTAGTGTTTCTGGGCCCAGCGATCTGTTCTCCCCATTGTACACCCACCGGCCACCCCTGTGCTGGTGGACAGGGGGATCCGCACCAGGAACTGGCTGTGGCATTCAAAGTTCCAGCCCAGAGGCTCATCCGGGGGCAGTTGGAGGGGATGGAGGCCTCTGCCTGGCTCAGGAGGGGCCCCCTCTTGTTCCTGCCTGTCCCAAGCCCTTGCTGCTGGTCCCTTCCCAGCTTGAGCCAGAGGCACAGGAAATCAAATACAATGGGGCTGGGGTTCCGGGTGGCAGCAGCAACAGCAGCAGTGGCTCGACAGGCTCCTTTCCAGGTGTGGCTCAGGCCTCGCTGTAGCACTCATAGATATTATCCTCCATCAGGGCCACCACCTGCTCAAACTTGTGCTGTAGCTGTGTCCGCCGGGCCGTGGGGTTGGCCTCCAGGGCCGCCATGATCTGCGGGCAGAGCAAGCAGGGGTCAGTAGGGCATAACACACGACCCCATTGTCTAATGCCACCACCGCTGGAGACCGGCCCTAAAGTCCAAGGGTCCCTGGACACCGGGGGAAGGCGCCTGGGAGAACGCAACTGGATAGGGCGGAAGCGGAAGCAAAGAGCTGGCATGCGCGCCAGGTCGCTCACCTGAGGACGATATCGCTTGGCGTATTTATAAATCTCCGCCATGGCCACGTTGGTGTTGAACTCATTCTGGTATTTCTAGGAGAGGCCAGGAGGGGAAAGCTGCCGTCACCTCAGGTGGCTCAAACTCAAGCTGTCACGCAGGCGGAGCCATGCACACCCCCAGGCACCCAAGCCCTGTGGGTGGAGATGGCTTCCCTGGCCTAGAATTCCCACCCGCCACAGCTCAAGGAAACCCCACCATGCCCTGCTTTGCTGCTCCGGCATCCAAGCTGCAACACCCCCAGAGGCCGCCCGGCAAGGCCCCAGAGGCGCACCCGCGACTCCTCGGCCAGGTGAGCGTTCATCTCTTGCTCGCTGAGCGGCGTCATGTCCTGGATCTGCTTGTAGTAGCGCTGCACGATCTTGCGGTACTCGGGGATCTCTTTGGCATACAGGAGCTTGTTGGTTGGCGAGTCCTGGGCCGAGAGTGGCACAGCGAGATGCTTCAGGCCTGTTCTGTGGCTGAGCCTGCCTCCTGACTGTCTGGTCCTAAGTGTCCCCACATGGCAGCCTTACTTGGTTTTTTGGGGGCTGTCAATGACCTGCAGGAGGACCTGGTTCTTCTAATCTAGGGGAAAGCGCGCTGGGGACCCACCAGATCTCGGTTGCTCGCACACAGCTGGTTCTGTGTACATCCTGGCTAGGGTTGTGGGTGTTGGGACGGTTGCTGGCTTCCGAGGCCACAATGTGCTAAGTAGCTGCCTGGTCCTAGTTGGTCACTGGTCATGGGTGTCCTGCTTTCTGAGACTGTGGAAGCCAAGGCATTTCTCTTTCTCGAGGTCTGTCTCTGTGATTCACGTGCTCAACGCGCCAGGAGCCATTAGGTCTAATGATGCGATGTCTTTCAGGTGCACTGCATCACTGCCCTTCCCCTGCCGGCCTGAGGCCTGCCTGCCTCCCACACAGCACTATACTGGGCCTCCACACACCTGGCCATGCAATATCACCATTCAAGGCTGGTGCCGTACACACCTGAGGCAGGTGCAGCCAGGGTCCTGTGACACCAAAGTTCTGGCTATAGGTGCCAGGTTCTGGGTGTCTTCCCATATTTGAGCAACCCCACTGGCACCTGAACCCTTCTACCCCATCCCCTACATCCCTGGGGTCCAGGTTGCCTCCAGCAGCACAGCTGACCTTGCCTAGCTGTAGGTCAGAGATAGAGCAGGCGTCGATGAAGGCTTGGGCGATGACCGACAGGCAGGCATCGATGTGGTCTGTCTTGTCAATGTCAAAGACGAACTGGGGGTTTTTCAGGATGTTCACCCAGAAGCGGAGGGGAAGGCTAGCAGGGAAGGGGAGAAGAGGAAAAAATGCTAAGTCCTGGGGGTAGTGGAGCAACAGGGGAGAGGGCAGCTGAGGGACAGAGAAAGAGTCCCACTGGGCAGTGCTGGCTTTGCCCCTGGGGCCCATGGAGCATCCTGGATGTGGCTTTCAGAATCCTGGTTTGCTCCTCCCTGGTGGCTGATGGGGCACGGCTGGGAGCTGGGGCTGCAGAGGGGCTGGCACCAGGGCCTGGCCAGTCTAGCCTCCTTGCAGCCCTGTCCCTCGTGGGGCCTCCAGGGAGCTTCAGGCCAGGTCCTGGTTCTCATTAGCAGCCACCCCCACCCCACTCACATCCAGGCAGGGCAGCTCCTCCTCCAACCGTGCCGGCAGCAGGAGGCCCAGCAGCGCCAAGCAAAGGCAGGGCTAGGTGGGTGGGGCCTGGATGCTTGCCCTTGGCCTTGGGAGGCCAGGCAGAGTTGCTGACATCCTCCAACCCCTCCCCTCAGGGCCACCAGTGACTCAGCAGCCTTGGCCCCCATAAAGACCCCTAAGCCCTGAAAAGTACCCGCAGCTGGCCAGAAAATGCTGGTGAGTGGCATTGTTTTCTGAGAGCTGGGCTGCACTTTGTACCCACTTCTTGGCAGGACCCACGACCCCAAAAGCTAAGCTGTGCCTTCAAGGAGGGGCTGCGGGGCCGGCTCTGGGGTTGCAGTCACTCGGGGCTGCTTCTCTAGGAGCCTCAGTCTGGGAATTGAGGCTGAAGGTGCTGCCCAAGTTGGCAGGAGGGAGAACTGCAGTGACTGCCCCACTTAGAAGATGTGTGGGCACTGGGTGACCTCCTTCCAACAGTTCAGGTGGGGAGAAGCTGAGGCAGAGCAAGGTGAAGGGTCACCAGTGGGAAGAGCCAAGCAGAGCCTGAGTGACCCCGGTGTGCACCGGGCACAGCCCAAGCCGCTCACACCTGTTGGTCTTCCAGATGTGCAGGGTGTCAGGGTCTGAGATCCCCCGCTTCTCGGCCTGCTCCTCCAGGAAGTCAAAAAAGTACTTGACAGCCAGTGGGGGCTTGTCTTCCCGGATGCTCAGAATGGCTTTGAAGAGATCATCCAGAAACTTCTGCAGAGTGCCCTGTGGGGGGTGCAAGGTTAACCCTGTCAGCCCGTGGCCACACAGAGAGACCAGGTGGGCACTCATGATGGGGTTCATGAAGCCCATCGTGCTTAGGCTGGTGAGTGGGGCTGCTGTGTGACATTAGGCTGGTCCCCTAACTTCTCTGTGCCTCAGTTTTCTGGTCTGGGAAGTGGGTTAGCAGAAGCTACCTCATAGGGGTCCTTCCAACACTGGGGCACAGCATAGGGAATGGTAGAGGCAGACCACAAGCTGTAGCTACTGACTGTGCCACCAAGCCATGAGACGTGGGACACTGCTGACCCTCTGCTGTCCCCGCCTATTACACAGGCCATGCCAGAAGCTGTCCTCAGCCTCTCACCCCAGAGCTCCTCCAGCACCCCAACCGCCTCATTGCCAGGGGAGGCCAGGCCCACCTTGGTGGACAGCAAGCGGGTCAGGTAGATCTCGGGGAGCACCTTCTTGCGGTGGCTCTGCCGGTGGGACTTCTTGGGCTCCGCCAGCTCATCCGTGGGCAGCACCTGAGGGCCCAGCCATCCCCAGGGGAGGTTTAGTCCTACACCCAGAGCCAGCCAGCTCTTCCCGAGCACCTGGGTCCCTTTGAGAGGGTGTCCCATCCCTGCTCCCCAAGGCACGCCTTTCTCAGGGCCTGGGAGGACTTTTCCCAGAGGCCCAGGGAGGCAGCAAGCCAAGGCCACGCCCAGAGAGGGGCTGGCTCCCTGGGGCTGGAGGCCGGGCACTCACCAAATGGAAATACTTCTCTGTATCCAAGTCTTTCACTGCAAGAGGAAAACACACGCGATAAACAAACAAGGGAGAGGAGGAGGGTGGGGGAGGGACATGGTCAGAGAAACAGAGAGCAAAGGACAGACTCAGAGACGGAGAGATGCAAAGAGAAGTGGGACAAGGAGAGGCACGAGGTTCAGGAAAAGTGGGGGGTGGGGTGGTTGGGTGGGCAGAGCGACTGCCTTCACGCACCCCACAATGCCCAGAGCCTACTCTCAACCTCAGGGGAGAACCCCAAGACCCGCAGGAGCCCAAGCCTCTGGGCTTGGCAGTTCAGCCCCAGGGCGTCTGAGAGCCTAGCCCAGATCCCATCTGGGTTTGCCTGGCCTCCACCGCCGGCCTGGCCACTGCCCAGACCCCCTGGAACAGCAGGCTGCCCTCCTGGGAACTCTCTCCAACAGGAGATAGACTTGGGAAGGCCTGGCTGCAGGCCCTATGCGAGCAGCGCTGGGTCAGAGGAGGCTAACCCAGCCCCAAGCCTCACCAAGGAGGCCTCTGCCCAGCCCTGTCCTGCCCTTCTGGAGCCATAGTTTCCCCACTGGGGCTGCTGACCCAGGCATGGGATGGAAAATTCAAATCCCACCCCCCACCGCCACCGCCTTGCCAGTTCTGCATGGTGCTACCTCGGCCCAGCGAGTTGCTGTCCTTCTTGTCCGTTAGGCTCATGGCCAGGGAGGCACCCTCGGGGATCTGAGAGGAGAGGAAAGGCCAGGTCAGAGGGCAGAGGTTGAATGGGCAGGGCAGCACAGGGCGCGGGGGTTGGCATACCACACCTTGTAGTGGGCCAGGGTATTGAGCTTCTTGCGGCCGTCCTCCACCACTGAAGTGTCGTCCAGATCCCGCAGGATGTAGCTCTGTGTGCTTGAGGCAAACCACTCTGGGGTGCGGGGAGGGAGGCAAGGGGCCAAGTCAGGGCCCAGGACAGGTGTGGGCTCAGCCTACCCTGAGGGAAGGCTGTAGCTCTCTTCTCTGGTACTTTGTCTGTACCTCAGTTACCCAATCCATAAAATGGGGAGGTGGAAAGACTAAGGGAGAAGGCATGTGGGGGGTTGTCTAAACTGAAGGTGTCGGGAAGGGAAGGCTGGAGTGGGGACCCGGAGTGGCTGCCCAGCAAAGCCTCTTTCCACAAGCCAGCCCAGTGGGTTGCCGGGAGGTCTCTGTTCCTTGTGGACAACATCACACCTGTCTGCTCAACCTAACAGCCCTCTGCTTGCACGGGGGCTGCACCCAGTGACTGGCTCAGGAAAGGCCTGTGGGGAGCAGTGGCCCCAGCGTCCTGTCTTAGCAGGACTTCAATGTGTGGAGCAGAATCCACTCCCATGTGCTTTCTGCTTTTGCCTGTGGTTTGTGCACACCCCGGGACCTGTCTTCTGCAGACAAGGATTTCTTCATCTGATCATTTCAAAGAGTCCCAGGTCTGGAGTGAAGGGAGCGACCCTACTCTGAGACGCCCCGCTCACCCACCCACCCAGGTCGACGTCCTCTGCGCGTGGCCATTGTGAATAGGGCACGTTCTTGCAGAAGGCTTCCAGAATCTTCTCCTTCACCTGCGTCAGTGTGTCAGTGTCCATGGCCCGCACGCTCAGCGAGTCCATGCCACAGCCCTGGAAGGACACGTTCAGGTTCTGCAGGAGAGAGGGGAGCCAGAGGGGGAGGTCAGCGAGCCATGGCCACGGCAGCCATGCATGGGCACCCAGGACCACCCAAGCTGCCACCGACAGCGCCCGGCCTGCTCACTCGGGGCTTGGCCTCGATGTTCTCGCGCAGCAGCCACTCCTCGTTGAGTGTGTAGCGGGCCTTGCCCGTGATGGCGTCAATGGAGCCCTTGTTCACCTGCTGCTTGATGGCGCACAGAAGCAGGAAGAACGGCTCCCCAACTGTTTCCTGGGGTACAATGGAGCTGTCAGGGACCAAGGCCCAGACTCCCCACTATTCCCAGCCCCCACTCCAATGCCTGCAGGCTGTCTGTCCTGTTCCCTCTTGGAACTGCGTGGCCTCTCGAAGGACCCTGTGCCATCTGCACTGTGTGCTTGGGGCAAGGAGGCTGCCCAGGGTTGCCCAGCTGGACTTGAAATCCATGTCCACTTACTCGTACTTTGTGGGGGCCTTCTGGCATGAAACCAAGGAGGAGGGACCCGTATGCAGACGTGGCCTCAAGTGACCCAAATCCCAGCCTGACCAGGTGGGGGTGGAGGGGCAGCTCACACCCTGTTCCTGCCCACCCCTGGGTTCAGCAGGGACTGAGGGCTGTCAACTGCCCCCAGGGATTTTCACGGTTATGGTAGAGCAGGTGGTCCACACGATCCGCTTACTGTGGACATTTAAGTGAAACCGTGAATTGTTTTAAAGAGGAAAACCCATTAAGTGTGTGAGGCCGATTTGGCAAAGAGTGAAGTGAGCCTGCCAGCCTTATCCCAAGCCAATGCTCTGGGGTGAGAGAGGGCATGCCTGCTTTCTAAAGGCCTGCCTGGAGCCACACGCAGAGACTGGGGGCCCAGGGCCAGACTCATGGCACCCACAGAGTCCCTGCTGCAGCCCTGATGGCCCAGAGGGAGGCAGCTGGCAGGAGAGCGGAGCACCAAGCACTGGCTCCCCTCCCAGGCCCAGCAGTGCTCCCCATTACCCATGTCTAGGAGGATCCACCAGACAGCACAACCCAGAGAGGGCAGCAATACCCCCAGGGCCATGTGACCAAGCTGTGTCAGAGCCAGGATTGAGCCCAAGATATGTGAGGCCCTGGTTCTGAGCTCTAGCCAGGCCTCTGCCCTTCTCCCCTGATGGCCCCTGGCCTGGGTCACCAGAGGGTAGCTGGGGGTGAGCTGGGACCGGAGGCTGGAGTGTCCCGTTTGACAGAGGCAGATACAGCAGGCCCTGACCGCAGGTCCACTGTCCTCGCATTCCTAGGCCTTCCTTCAGGTCCTTCCATGAACACTGCCCTTCCCATCCACTGCCCACACCGTGCCTGGGCTGAGCACCTTCCCCAGCCCCTCCCTAGCTTGGCAACACTATCTCCAGGCATCCCCACTGGACTGCCCAGCCAGGCGCAGGGCCACCTTGGGTATGTAGCATCCCCCTCTGCGTATCTCAGTGTCTGGGGCCGCCTCTCACCTCCCTCCTGCTGAAGCCACAAGGGTATCCAGGACAGGGCCAGGTCTGCTCTCCCTCCTGCACCCACAACAGAGGCTCAAAGATGGCCCAGCAGGGGCAGCCTCTGTTCTGTCCCGAGGGAGCTCTGAGCCCTTTGCTGTCAGCCTGCCGTGCCTGCTGGGAGCCTCAGTTTCTCCGGGCATGTCCCAGCCCATCCCTCACCCCCACCATGGCAGTCTCTTTCGGGGCCCTCACAAGCGGCCTCACCCGCAGGCAGCTGTACATGCAGATGGACATCCAGTTGGTGAGCATCTTTTCCACCACTGACTCGGTGCGCCGCAGCATGAGCTTGGGGTTCTTGGCGGCCGAGGCGTCGATGAGGTCTACCAGTAGCTCCTTCATGATGCTCGTGTAGTACTCAAGCTTGCCATGCAGTGCAATGGTCAGCAACGAGGCCAGACTGCACCTGCAGGCAGCAGCTGGCATCAGCACTGGCACCCCTCGATGGACACCTCATCAATGTTGCCGTCAAGCCCACACATGTGCCTGGAGGACCAGCTCCTGTAAATGGGCTGAGTGGGCTGGAACTTGCCTGGCTCAGAAGTACCCTTTGCTGATGCCCACAGCTGCACCCTGACAAGAGGTGCATGCCGTGGGCATCCAGGCCTGGCACAGGCGGGAAGAGGAGACAGGGCACAATGCCAGGAAGTGCAGCTGCCGAGACAGTGGTGATTTGCAAAAGCCACAGCCTTAGGTCCTTGAGGTCTGGCAGGAGGATGTGGGCCCTGCCTTCCACCCAGGGGCCCCACCGAGGGGCTGACCTGTCGCGCACCGCGAAGTCCTTCTGCTGCTCCAGGGCGTGCACGAAGACAACGAGGAAGTGCTTATTGCTGAGCAGCGAGGAGAACAGGCTGATGCCCTCCTCCATGTTGGGCCTGCAGCTCTCTGGGACCTGTGGGAGCAGTTGCTGGTGAGGAATTCAAAAGGGCCCAGGAACCCTGCCTGGCTACCTGGATGCCTCCTGGGATGGACAACTCACTATGTATCCCAGGGGCAGTGCCTCCTGGCTCCCTGTGCCTGGGAACCATGGCTTAGCTGCATTGAACAGTGGTGCCCAGAAACGAGTCAGGGTAACCCAGCATCTCCGTGTGGTGGTCTTTCATCTTCCATTCTCTCAGCAGCAGGGGGAATGGGCCCCAGTGGGGTAGGGGTCAGCACTGATAACACCTTGAATATCTACTGGGATGGGAAGCTCACTACCTTCCAGGGACAGGTGCCTCCCAGCTCCTCACTGCTGAAGGGCTGAAGCAGCTGGACAGAGAGGCCCATGGTTGCTCTTTAGCAGCCCGGTGTATGTATGGGGTACTCACCTTCCATTCGCCCAGCAGTGGGTGGGTCTCTTGCACCGGGGAGCTACCCTGGGGAGTGAGTAAGGGTGGGAAGGCAGGATTTAACACTCTCCATAAAGAAAGGAACCTAGCCAAAGGACCCCAGACTCTCAACAGACCGAGAGGGGCACCAATCTGGGTTGGGAAAATCTCCATAGCAACAGAAGCAGAGGGCCAAGCCTAGGGGCCTGTGGAATGGTATGGGGGGCTTTCCTAGAAGGCTTCTAGAGGGGGTCGCACACAGAGGAACCAGCGTGAGGCAGTGCAAGATGGCGCAAGGCTTCAGTGGATGCAAAAGCAGCTCAGTGTGTGTGGGGAAGCTGAGGCAGAGTGGCTGAAGAGAGCCAATGTCTGGGTTCATGACAACCAGTGTGGCTCGACATGGGCTGCTAGCTTCTGCTGTCAAATGGGGAACCGTGTGGACAGGGAGGGTCCTGACCACAGTACACATGCCCCTGGAACTCAGGAGGAGTGGCACAGCACTATGCACAGCAGGAGGAGTCGTGGAGACCAAGAGGAGCCTGCTTGGGCAGGGACCCAGATGTGAGAGGTGGCAGAGAATTTGTGGACTGGGATCCCTGATCCCTGCCACAGTGCAGAGAGAAATGAGCCCAGCACCGCAAAAAGGAGACAGGGGGCAGCAGCTGTCTTCTGTGGGTGGGCAGTCAAGCATCAGTTTGCAGGAAGTGGCAGGAGACACTGGGCCCCCCTCCCTTGGCAGGCAGGGCTGTTGAGGACAGGTGTGCAGGTTCTGCCCTGCTCAAGGCCGACACTGCACGGAAGTACACTGGAGGCTGGCCCAGCCCTGTGAGCTACAGGCATGGGTTCCAGGGCTGACCTTGGGGAAGAAGGTGCGGGTCACGAAGTGCTTGTACTCCAGGAAGGGGATGCCCTGGCTGCGGTTCAGCTCCTTGGTTAGGTCCGTCATGTCTGTCTGCAGTTCTGCGAAGCCTGGCAGCAGGACGGGTGGGCGGGCAGCCGTGAACAAACCAGGGTAGACAGGCCAGCCTGGGCCAGCCCTGCCCCTGGGCCCCATGCCAGCTAGCTACCTTTGCGAATCTCCTCGCGGATCTGGGACTCCATCTCCTCCATCTGCAGCAGCGTCTTCTGCCAGTAGCGCTCAGCTCGGCGGCTCTTGGTGCAGAAGACAAACAGGGCTGCGGGCAGCAGAGTGGCAGTCAGGCACACATGCCCTGCGGGAGCCAGGACCACACCTGCTGCATGTGGGGGCCTCAGCACCTCTGGGCAGGAGGTAGATGGTCACTTCCAGCCGTGGGTTGCCCTAGCCCTGGCACAGTGCCTGCAGGGCAAGGGGCTTAATGTCTTATGCTTAGCAAAAGGATGAGGGAAAACTGGCGCCTGTGGCTTTCTCCGGGTGGGAGGCTCAGAAATGATGCCTCTGTGTTCTTTTTGCTTTTCTGCATCTTCTAATCCTCCTACATAAGCAAGTGTCACTTGTGAATTAATGAACTTTACAAAGCAGTGTTTATGGAATGGGTGGGTGGTACTTGGCTCAGCCGTGAAGTCACTGGCTGGGACCCCTGGCCACTCCTGGGTTTGAGTCCTGGCTCCTCTCTGGATTCTAGCTTCCTGTTAATGTGCACCCAGGGAGGGAGCAGATGATGGATGAAGGGATTGGGCCCTTGTCACCCATGCGGGGGACCCAGGTTGAACACCTTGTTCCTGTCTTTAGTCTGACTCAACCCTGGCTGTTGTGGACATTTGGGGAGTGACCCAACAAATGGAAGACCTCTCTGTCTCTCTCTCTCTCTCAAATGAATGCATTTTTGGAAAAAGCAATATTTATATTAAAATCTCTATCTAGGGTGGGGGCAGGAATATTTGTGAACATAGGCATTCCCTAGGATTATTAGAAAAGAAACTGGAAGGAAATGTTAAAAAAAAAAAAGACCCACAGAATGTTAATGATGGATATTTTTTTCCTTTTATTTTCTAGTAATCCCCTAAATTTTCCTGCATTGAATATACTTGTGTTTTATCAACAGCTTTATTGAAACATGCACATGGCATGTAATCGGTCCACTTTACACGTGTAATCCCATGGTGTGTCCTGTGCATCTGTCAGCACTGGTCCACTTGCCCTGAGAAGGCCTGGGCCCACTAAGCAATCCCTGCCGCCTCTCCCTCCCTGGGGCTCTGCTCTCCATCCCTTGGGTTTGCCTCAGCCTGACATTTCATGTAAATAGAGTCCTACTGGTTACAGCCCTCCATTTTGGCCAAGTCACTCAGTATGGAGTCCAGGGCTCCCCTGCACTGCAGCTTGCATGAGCCCCTCACTGCTCTCTGTGGCTGATAGGCTGCTGCGTGGAGAGACCAGAGCCTAGTTCCATTAGTCAGCTCTGGCCTCTGGCTCATCAGTGCCATGTGCACAAGCTTCTGTGTGGCTGCGTATGTGTTCACTCTCATGAGCAGGTCCACGGGGTGGAACTGCAGATCTCTGTGTTTGAACCCCTTGGGAGCTATGCTGCCTGACATCTCTCCCTCCCACCTCTCTGCCACACTGGGTACAGCGGTGTCCCCGTGCCACATGCTCCCTTGGCGTCCCTGTGCCACCGCCAACCTGCACGATTTACAGGAGCTCCCGACCAAATGGATCACAAGGGTCCTGAGGTCTACCTGGGCCCTCCCCCTCTGGGCACCTGAGCTGTCCCCCACTCCAGGCCCAGTTTGTCCTACTTGCCAGTCTTCAGAGGGGCATAAGCCCAAAGGGCAGGGCTCCTTACCCACCACGGAGAGCAGGAGCAGGACACTGCAGATGACAATGGACACAATGATGGCCGTCTCACTGCCCCCCAGCTGCAGCGTGGCGAGTGTCTGGTTGAAGTTCCCTACCTGGATCTGTACAGACGTGTAGGGAAAGGGTTGTAAAGCTGTGTGGCCTGGGGCAAGTCACCTCACATCTCTGTGCCTCCTCAATAACCCACAAATCTCATGGGGCCAGGGGTAGCTCCCTGACCTCAGTCGTGGGCCTGGCACAGAAGTGGGACTTGGTGCCAGGACCTGTACCTACTGCAGCCTGGGGCAGCAGCAAAGGAGCTGGGCAATTACTGAGGTCTGACTGATGTCCCCATAGGTTTGCAGGACTCTCTTGGGATCAAAGAGGACAGGGCCAGGGGCTGCAGGGTAGGTGAGAGGGCACTGTCTGACACAGAGGTCCTGTGAGGGAGTGAGCCCCCTATCCCAGGAGGCATGCAAGTAGATGGGTCCTCTCTGTTCCCCACCCCTCAAGGACTCTCCATGGTGATTGGCAATCCGGACTGCAGGTGAGACCCCCAAGGGACGGCAGCAAATCCTCCTGACTTCTCCAAATCCATTCAGGAGGAAGCTGGCCACTGCCTTTGAGCTATTAGCCCCACAGGTCAGGTCCAAAGGCCCAACAGGCAGGCTGCTCGTCTACCCTGCCCACTCACCGTGATGGGCAGCTGCCCCTCAGCTGTGCCCAGGGACTCATTGACGGAGCAGTGGATGACTCTGTCCGAGATGATCTGGATGTCGCAGGCCACCTGGCCTATCTTGACCCGGTACTCGTGGCTCTCAAGTCCCAGACTGTCCTGCTCCTTCTGTGGTGACAGGGAGGCTCGTGGAAGTGCTGGTGAGGGGGGGCCATCTGCTCGCTCCTGCCCACCCCCCGCCACAGCAAGTGCTCACATGGATGACAAGGGTGAGTGGCTCCCCAGGGTGATGCTTGATCCACTTCTCCCTCTTGGCCGTGGAAAACTGGGGGTTGGGCAGGTAGTCCAGGCGGAACCTGCGGCCACGCCACGCCTCCCCAGGGTCCAGCAGCTCCTCAGCCACTGCCGCCTCGTCTGTGTAGGCCCGGCCGTTGATGAAGAAGTCCACTGGTGCCGACGCGTTGCTCAGGGCCCCAGGTGATGGGCAAGTGATGAGGGTGGAGTTGAGAACCTTGCAGAGCTGGAATGAGCAGACCAGGAATCAAGGCTAGGGTCATGCCCAGCCCACATGCCCCATGCCCATTCGGCTCCCTGGGCCCTCACCGTGGGCTCCCGGCCAATGTGGTGCACAGCCATGGACACATTCTGCACCATGTGGAAGCGTTCACCGGCCACCGTGATGGTCCTGCCGCCGCTGTGGAGCACAGAATTCCAGTGAGCCCCCAAGGCTGTCACCACCCTCTCTCCCCCCAGTCCGGCCTGGAGGGGCTGTGTGGGCCCGGGTCTCACCTCACCGGGCTGCGGCGGGGACTGATGGCTGTGATGACTGGGTTCTGCATGTACCAGAAGGTCAGGTTGCCGTGCACGCAGCCCCGGCGCTCAAAGCGAACACACACTGGCACGGGGACTGCCAGGGCACCAGCAGGCACGGTGCAGGTAATGCTGGTGTCTGTGCGCCTGTGGGGACAGGAGGCTTTGTCAGCAGGGGCCTCCCACCCCACTCAGCCACCGCCAGGAACCCCACACTTCCTCAGTCTCAGCTTTATCTCCTGCCCTCTTCAGCGGAAGTTAATGCCCGGACAATTCCCTGTCTCCACTGCCACACCCTTGCTTGGGCCAGTTTATTGTCACTATTGCTGTTCTTACCACCAGGGAACCTGAGGCTTAGAGAGAGAAAAGGCTTAGCTAAGCCGACTCTGCCAGTAAAGGTTAGGCGATGGCTGTGGCAAGGATGCACCCCAATTCCAAGCAGCAGGACAGCCTGGGCCCTGGGGCTTACGTGAGCTCTGTGCAAGGATCTGAGCTGTTCACCAGGACCTGGAGCTCAGAGCCCACGTGGAGGTCGCTCCCGTGGATGGTGATTCTGGTACCCCCTGCCTTGGGGCCCACTTCCGGTTCCAGGAACTGGACCTGCGGCAGCTGTGTTGAGGAAGGCAGGATCAGGCTTCAGCCAGGCCCTCCCCTCCGCTGCCAGGTGCGCATGGTAGGGCTGGCCGGTGGTAAAGGCCGCAGCCTCCCTTACCACGTATGAGAAGCGTTCCCGTGACTTGCCCTCCTTGGAGGCGTTCACGGTCACCACATCTGAGAAGACCCCTGGGGCTGGGCCTGTGGCACACACAATCCTGCGAGAGGCAGCTGTGGTTAGTGGGGTGCATGAGAACCCCAATGGTGGCCCCCACTACAACCCTATCAGCTGGGGGAGGCTAGGCTGAGGGGCCATCCCAGCCTACAAGTCTCCCACCATTCTGCAACTCCAAGACAAGAAGGTCTGGCATCTGGTCACCAGGCCCTTGCTGGGCTAGCTGACTGACAGTTTCTTGTGTGTGCTGACTTCTGGCTTCCTGGTGGGGGATCCCGCTGTCCCTGTCCACAGCAATGGCCAGAGACCCTTGATGCTTAAAATGCCAATTATTTCCTTCAGAGAAAGGCTTATGTGGAAGAAGAGCTGGGTAAGGGGTGCAGAGTGTATCAGTTGGGAGGGTGTGTGTGGGAGCAGGGACAGAGATGCAGCCATCTGGGTAGGTGGGGGGCCCATCACTCACTCCTCTGACACCATGTATCTGTCAGCCAACGGCTCACAGGCCACGCTGCCAATCCACACGCCCTGGGCCACGTCGCTGAGCCGGCGACCCAAGTTCCTGCCACGGATGGTCAACAGGGTCCCGCCGTCCAGGGGGCCACTCAGGGGCTCAATCTGTGTCAGGTGACCAGAGAGAGGGGTGAGTAAGGTCCTGAGGCCAGGCTGCCCACCCATGGTCACACGCACCAGGAGACAGGTCCTCACAGACACACTGCACAGACTCGGGGAGCTCTGGGCCTGCTGGTCATCTGGCAGTGGGGTGCCTGGCTTGCCAGAGAAGAGTATGGGTGCCTTAGCCCCCAGAAATCCAGAGATGAAGAGGAGGTCACCATTAGGGTCTTGTGGTCAGCTGCCAGTGGCCATGTCTGACCACATGCTCCTGTACCTGGGCTGGAAGTTGCCTGGGCAGAGTACCTGACCCAGGGTAAACTAGTATTGAGTTCTTTCCTGAGATTTTTTTTTTTTTATCTTAATTAAAACAGAGTCTCGGAATTGGTAGTTGTTAGCGACCCCAGTGATAACCAGTGGGCAGGGTTTCCTTGGCTTCTCTGTAAAAGGGAGAGGTGTGCCAGCGCCAGCACCTCCTCTACCCCCATGCCAGTACCCCTGCCCTATTGGTCTTCTCCCAAGGCTCCAGCCACCTCTCCCACTGAGCATGTGAGGTGGGTCACTCTGTTCATAGGTGAGGTGGCACCCACATACTTCACTCCCATGTCGCAATTGCAGGGGTACAATGGTCTCCGTGGGGGTGCTTACTGCGCGGATCTCGGGAGCAGGGCAAGTGCCAGGTAGGGGCTGCAGGGGCCCCCGCAGGCGGCAGCCGTCATTCCAGACACACAGGTGACCCAGGTCCTCGCGGCCCAGGCACTGGGAGCAGTCGGGGCTGCCCATGGCACAGTTGTAGACTTCGACTAGGGAAGACACAGGGGGCAGGATGAGCCAGTCACCCCACACAGCATGTGCCTGCAGACCTGCCAGCCCTCTTCCGGCCCCCAGGCCCCAGCTCCCATTGGGTCACCCCATCAGAGGCAGGTGCTGACTCAGAAGTGAGAACCCCATGGGGTTCTGTGCCTGTCCTCACCTCCCTGCTGTCCTCATTCCGTGGTTCTACAGCTCAGCCCCATTTTCACACAGGAAACTGAGGCTCAGAGAGGGACAGTGACTTGCCCATGCTCACTCAACCTGTGTGAGGCACGGCTGGACCTCATGGCAGGACTGCACGGGTCTGTTTGCCCGTAGTGTGGACTCCAGGATGCTGGGGGAACCATTAGGCAGTGTGGACTCCAATGAGGGCACTATGGCCTCTAACCCTGGATGGGCCCAATAGGCAGCACAGGATAAGACAGGTTGGGGCCTGGGATGTGCAGGACGACCCTGGGCCTCTCCGTGGCCTTTGTGCTGGGGCTGCAGGAACCCCATGTCCATCAGGGGTGTCTAAGGCCCTTGCAGAGCAGGGTTCCACATGTGCAGGGCCAAGCCCCCCTTTCCCAGAACGCCTTGGAGCTAGAAGGGCCACAGATTTCAGCGACGGCTGGGTTATAGAGAGATCTTGGGGAGGGCAGGGCCTTAGGTGCATTCCTGTGTTGCAGACACTCCTGGGCACCTGGAGTGCAGACAAGTCTTCGGGAGGTTTTCAGTGCACCTGTGCTTTGACTGCAACCCATTCCCTGAGGTTAGGTGTGGGAGTCACTGCCTGGCATGCTGGTTCTCAAAACTTTAGGATGAATCCAGGGTTCCCAGGGTTCAAATTCATGGATAAGAGCTCAGTTTATACTAAAAGTAACAGTACCAATGAGCATCTGGAGACAGTAAGTAACCCCAATGCCATTCTTAGGCTTTGGTGCTCCCGCTCATTCCTGGAGAGGGGCTGGCCCTGAAGGTGCACAGGCACGGGGAGGCACAGGGTGGCACCTGTGGCTGCAACAGACAGCCCAGAGGGGCAGGGCTAGGAGCCAGGGCCGGGTGTGTTGGGGAATGACGGGATGGGAATCCCTGAGGCTGAGCCCCACCCACCGGGCCCTTGTGGGGTTGTGTGGGAGGACCCACCTGTTATAGGGTCAGGGCTATCCAGGAAACGGGCCGGCCACTCCTTGAGTTGGAGGCTGAGTGGAAACCCACGGCTCTTCTGGGTCGTGTGCAGCTGCAAGGGACAGGAACGAACCTGATGGGGGGCTCTGGGCTGGGGAACTCATGGAGAGAGTAGGCGAGTTGGGGACACAGCTCACAACATGCAACCCCAGGGAGTTCCGAGACTTACCACCACCTGGTTGCAGCGTACCACTGACTCATTTACCCACACAGCTTCAAAGACCTCCTCAGACCCAAAGCTGCACTCCAGGGCTGCACTCTGCAGAATGGGGAGGGTTTGAGTGGCACCCCTGGCCTTAGCCCCAAGAAGATATCAAGGTAGCTGCCCTCCAAGGAGGGCCTGGTCCTGTTACCAGGCCTCAGGCTGCACTGTCCTGTCCCCAGGTGCCCTTCCTGGCCCTCGGAGCATGTGAGATGCCTGGCCTGAGATGTGGGGCTCTTGCTGCTAAAACCCCTCCATCTCCCCCAGGCTATGGACTGGCCCACAAGGCCCTGCTCTTTTAACCTAGAGTTCAGGGTCTGCTCTGCCCCAGGTGCCATCCCTTGAACCCCCTTCACTTGGTGGATAATGCGGCTCCCTGCACTGCCCAGCCAAGTTGCAGGCCTCAACAATCCCCAGGTACTCCCAGCAGGTGAGAGAGGACCCACAATCCATTCTGTTCCCCTTCCTTCAACAGTGCATTCTGGGTGCATCCTGGGGCTCCTCTAAGATCTAAGCCTGGAACTCACCCTAAGTGTCACAGACATCCTGGCCCCTGACCCAGGCTGCTCTTCTGGCCCCCCGGGGGGGTTGGGCAAAATGTAGCTGGAAGAGCTGAGGTCCCTACAGAGCTCTGGGTTCATTTCCATCGCTGCTGTCTCCTAACTGTGCAAGTCACCCCTCTCTGAGCCTTGGTCTTATCCATAGGAAGATGTTTTCCTGCCTTTCAGGGCTGCTGGGAAACTGGAGGTCATGGAACGTTGTGGGTTGCATCCTGTAGGTGCCTAATGTGTGCTCGCTACTATGGTATGTAGGAAGTGCTCTAAAGTGTTTGTTGATTGAATAAATAAGGCCGGATCTCCAGTCTCTTCACGTCAGCATCAAGAACTGTTTGCTGAATAAACAACCTCGGGTTTTTGCCTGTGATAAGTCAAGCCCCCGGCCATCCCTGTGGCAGGACTTCCTGTTTTGCCCCTGTCATGGGCAGAGGTGACACCCTGAGGTGAAGGCAGGTCCACCTCCCCTATGCTGGGCCAACACAGGAAAGTGGCCACTGACAGTGCTGAACACCAGGCAGGCTGGAGGCAGGTGGCTCCTGAGTGTTCTGGGCTGCCAGGGTATAACTAGCATATAGGGCTGCCCAGGGTGTCCCTGAAGCCGGCCAGGAAGACAGGGCTCATTGTGGCTTGGTGGCAGCACAGTACAGCTTACACAGCTGGCAGAGTCAGCTGGAACGCAAGTCAGGCCCAGGCCTCCTGTCCCAGTCTCTGCCCCCGCCAGCCCCCTACTGCTCCTAGGCTCTCACCGATCCCGTGCAGGGTAAGGTCCCACCCTGGCCCCCCGAGAGTGCCACGTGGCGTCCTGACACATCCCAGATGCCCGGCACGTGGCCCCCACGTGTGACAGCCGTCACGGGCCTCAGCAACTCCGTGAAGGCGACAGATGGTGAGTCGCTGGGAGGGGGTGGCTGGCTGGCTTCCAGGACGCGTCAACGCTTCCCACCCCAGGACACTCCTGGGGGCGGGGGAGGGAGGCCAGAAAAGGCTGTGTCCCCTCCCCCAGTCCCGACTGGGAGGATGGGTGCCTGTTGGCAGGGAAGAGCTCAGGACTGGGAGCCCAGAGCTAGTGTGAGGCCAGCCCTGCCCATGGGAACGTGGTGTTACCCCAGCCCTGTCCAGAGCCTCATGTCCATTGGGACAACAGGAACTATGGTGGCTGATGGCTGACTGCTCTCCAGGGAAGATGCTGTGGCCACCAATGGGTGTCCCGGGGCACCGCTGGGCAGGGCACAGCCTAGACCACATCCACCACAGCCTGTAGGCTGGCCAGGGGCCCTGGCCAGGACTTCCCTTGGCAGCTGCTGGTCCCAGCCACCCCGTGGGGCCCGGCCTGTGCCCCAGCCCCATGCATCTAGAGTGAGAATTTCATTCGGAGCAACTAAAGTACATGCTGGTGCCAGGGCACCGGGTGGGCCCACGCAGGGGTCCCCAGGCCACACCAGCTCTCTCCCAGCCTCCCGGGCTAGCTCTGGCCTGAACCCCTACTCACGTGGAAGAAAGCAGCATTGGCCAGGGGCACCAGGATGTCCTGGGAGCCACCTGTGGGCACAGGTGTCAGGAGTGAGGGCAGGATCTGGGGGCAGTCCTGAGGGCTCTGTGGAAAAAACACAGAGAAAACTCGCCCCAGGCTCAGCAGAGAGGAAGCCATTCTGCCCCAGAGGAAAACCCCCAGAGCTAGACACTACTCATACCGTTCCATGTGACTCTGAGCTGGCCACACACCTGTCCAGGGCTCTGGAGCCCCCTGGGGTCCCCAGTGAGTGAGTCTGTCTCCTTGGGCTCCCATTCTGCTGGGCCAGGGCCCAGAGCAGCCACACCCACCCTTCACGACAGTGCCTCCAGCCAAAGTCTGCTGGGGAAGGAGCTGGGAGCTCCATGAAGACAAGACAGGCACGGATTCCGCTCTGGGACCCCAGACCTCCAGGGAATGTTTGTCGCTCAAAGGTGTCAATAACAGTGGCAGCCAGCAGCTCACAGCCTGGCTCTTGCTGGCAGGGTTCTGAGCATTCAGCCACGACCTCCTCCTTCCAACAGCCCAGGGGCAGCTTGGTCCTTACATCCACTTTACTGACTGTCCTCCAGGTGGGGCTGAGAAGGCAAGATGGCAGGGAGGGGACAGAAGCCCTCCAAAACCCAGATGTGGGTCCAGGGTGCACCAGTCCATGGAGGCCCTCACCTGTCCCTGAATGGAGGACAGGTGGTAAGGCTGCAGGGGTTCCCGGGAAGGGTTCCCCACAGCCCACTGGGCCCCCAAGGCTGAGGAACCCTCAGCTGAGCAGTGTCTGTCAGCAATGCAGAGCCTACCTGGTCTGGTCCCTCCCTCCTGTACCCTGGGAAACTTCCATGCCGACTCCTAGCCCACCTTGGAATGGCCTTATCACATTCCTCACACAGGGAGCCCCCATTCTGTCTTGCTCACAAAAGGGAGGCCCCGTGAAAATGGGGAAGATTATCTATTCCTCACTCTCCTCCACCATCCCTATGCAAGGGCCAGGCCCATTCTCCCAGCATCCTCCACTCAGCCTCCTTCCTGTGGGGCTCTCTAGGGACAAGATAAAGTACCGGAGACTCAGGTCCGGCACCTCCAGCCCAGGGGTGCTAGCGCCTGTGCAGACCTGGCTGCCCACTGCCCACCCAGAGGCTGGCGCCTCTATGCCTAACTGACACTTCATTAAGCGCCCAATTATGCAGGGCTCAGAGCCTCTGCAGGCCTGGGGCAGGCCCTGCCTCTTCTCCTACTGGATTAGGGTAATCCTCTGAGACAGCCTCCTCCAGGCGCCCCAGCCCAGCCGCAGACCTGGGGGGAGGGGGCGGTGCTGCGGAGGGACCGCCCAGCACCACTGGTGAGTTCCTATGCATCGCCAAGACCCAATGCAGAAGTCCCCTCTCGGGAGGCAGCCTCGTGCGCCCCCCAGCACCTGTAGGCAGGCCTTATGGATAAGTGTCCTTACCCCGTAGCACTGATAGGCCAAGGGAACAGAGAGGGTCAGAGACTTGCTAGGGATGACACAGCCACACTGCACCCAAGCTCGGGCTCACAGTGGGAGGAGTGGATCTAACTGGGGGATCCTAGGCCAGCCCACCTCTCCTCCCCAGGGCAAGCTGCAGCACCACCCATTCCCACTGCCATGGAGAATGGGGCCATTCTGCAGGGGTGGACACATGGTCCAGAGCACAGGGGCTGCAGCTCTGGTTCCCAGCCTGGTCCCTGCTGGCTGGGTAGTCCTAGGTCACTCACTGGTCTAGTCCTCACAGAGGCCACAGACGGTGCCAGGGTAGGAAGGGAAGGGTCGCACATACTCATTAAACATAGAAATGAATGAACCAAAGAGGAGGCAAGGAACTGTAGAGAAAGCGGCAGCCCCCTCCCCGGGCATGGCTTACCGTGGGGTTTGGTGAGGCATCACACCGAGACTGGTTGGAGACACAGGCGTGCTGCTGCAGGCACCAGAAGCAGGGCCACTGTGCAGAGAGGCAGCTGGTGCACCTGCAAGGCAAGGTGCTGCTTAGTCCCACCCCCAGGACCCAGGAGGGGCCTCCTCAGAATGCACGCTGCCTGGAAGGGGCGGGGCGCCGTGGGAAGTAGTGAGCTCGCTGCTGTAAGAGGCATGCAAGGAGGGAACAGAGCCTTTAGGAGAGGGAATCGGATGTGATCCCAGCATGTGTCTTGCCCCTGGCAGCGCAGGTGCTTGAAAAGGCCTGTGTGCTAAGAGCTGGTATAGAACGAATGAGTGAGCCGCGGGGGAACAGGCGTGTTTGCCACTAGGATGCTTGGGGCTTTCTTCCAGGGCCGCCCTGAGAGCAAGGACCCGTTCCTGGGGCCTCAGCTCCGCACCACCTCGAAACACTCACGCAGTGTGGGGGTACACTTGTCCCACACGGCTGCAGTTGTAGATGGTGAAGTTGGCTGAGACAATATTGTGCCCGTTGACTCTCACAGACATCTCAACGGTCACGTGGTCTGCAGGGGATGGGCAAGGTCAGGGAGAGGTCAAGAGAAACAGGTCCCTGCCAACATCCTGCCCTACCCCCCCTTTGCCAAATCTCCCCCTCCACACGGCTCTGGGGCTGTGGGCACCCAGCACGTACCCTGGTGGGGCGGGAAGGGTGGGAACTGGTGCCTGGGCAGGAGGTTGCAGTAGGCGATTTGGTGGCCGTAGGCGGGGCCGGGAACCCGGGCCTCTGTGCGCACGTGATTCCCATAGTCGCAGGCCATCTCCACGCCGCGGAGGCTGGGCAGACTGCCAGAGATCTGCAGGATCATGCCCTAGGGGACCCGGTGTTGGTGGAGGGTGCTCAGTGCTTGGAGTTCAGGCCAACCCCCCGCCCCCTGCTCCCCTCTCAGGGCAGAACCCCAACTTGACAGCTGTCTGAACGTGGTGGCCACCAGAAGTCAAGACCAGAGCGCCGTGCCTTGTGCGTGACTGTCCAGGTCTCAATGTGTCCCTCTGGGTCCCATATCTTAACAGTGCTCAAGATCTGGCTCCTAACCCTTGTCCCAAAACACAGCCTTTGGGCAGTTCCCTCCACTCCCAACACCCTTCAGATGTTCACAGTGGCTCACCTCCGGCACATCCTGCCGCAGTGCCACCTCTGCTCAGAGCAGCACCCCTCCTCCAGCCTACATTCTTGCACACAGTGTGCGTCACCTTCTGGACAGCTCACCGTGCTGCCCTGCCCTCGCCCTGGGCTCTGCCTTGCTCACTAATGCTTGGCGCACAGCAGGTGCTCAGTAATGTTTGATGAAAGAAGGAATGAACAGCCAGACCCACACCCGGTCTGTCTGTGGACACGAGCCCGGGAGGCACTCTGCCATGTGGAATACTGGGGAAGGGACCGGAGACAGAAGAGCTTCAGGTTGAGCCATCAGACCTCCCTTCGCCGTCAGGGGCCATCAGGCCTGCGCCCCATCAGGGTGACAGATAAGGACCCCCATCCTTGAGGACTCACTGAGGGCAGGGCTCAGGGGGACAACTGCTGGAGCCCCTCAGGGCACAAGTGAAGAGGGACCATAGACCCACAGGAACACTCTGGCTCCTGTGCTGGGACCAGGAGAAGGCAGGAGGAGGGGTGAGGGTGCTCTCATCCCCACCTTGTGGGATCTGCACCCAGCTCACCTGAGCTCAAATTCTGGCTCCTGCACACTGCTGCTGTGCAGCCTACAACAGGCGGACTGGGGTGCTGGGAACATGCTTTGCTGGCTAAGGCACACACCCTGAGCACATGGCATGCACCTGGCCCTTCCTCAGGGCTCAGGACAGCCCAAGCACTGGCACAGTCCTTGTTATTGTGCCCAGCTGGCTGGGCCAAGAGAGGCAGCTCACCGGGTACTCCTGGTGCACGTCAATCTCCGCAGGCAGCACAGTCATGGCCGGGCAGCGGCCAGGGCCCTCGCTGGCACTTGTCCAGAAGTGCGGCTGGCTGGCATTGGCACAGTCCTGCTGCAGGGTGCATCTGCAGTGGTCCACAGGGTCACAGCGGCCCCCAGGAGGCTCCACCTGCTTCCCCCTCTCTCAGCCTTGCCCCAGGCCTTACCGTGTCTCCAAGGTGCACCAGCCACAGTAGGCATCAGCAGCGCCCACGCAGTCCCCACAGGTGGAATACACCTCACACGCTGCCACCTTCACTCGGGCCATCTGGAAGCAGAGACAGGGTCCAGCACAGTGGGGCAGGCAGCCCCTTCCCCAGGGTGGCAGTGCCCTTGGGGGCTGGGGAACCTGAGGCCCAACACTGGAACAGAGTGAAGTCTGCTGGGAGTGGGCGGGGCAGGCCGTGCAAAGGCCAGACAAGCAGGAGAGCTGGGGTCTCACCTGGTGGGATGTCATCAGGTAAAGGTAGCCAGGGTCAGCTGGGTCAAACTGCATAACATGGTGCACTGGCTCCCCATAGGCCACAGTCACCACGCGCCGGCTCACCACCTGCATGCTCTCGTTCAGGTTGATCTGTGGGGTGAGGGCCATCAGGAGGTGCCCACCACATCATGGGCACATTGACATCCCTAGGCTGTGCAAATGAACAAGCTGGCAGACTGCTTCCCTCTCTGCCTCAGTCTCCCCAGCCACGGAGGCTCACGAGGGCAGGTGCTGCAGAATGAGATGCACGCAGAGGAACAGATGCTCTCGGACTAAGTGCTAAGGGGCCAGCTGCTTGGGCCACACTTCTCGTGCCTCCCCCCATGCCCATTCCACAGATAAGGAGACTGAGCCCCATAGGTAATAGACTTGTAAAGGTCACCGAATGAACAAGTCTCAGGGTCACACTGGAGACCCAGACTTCTCTGACCCCTAAGTTCAAGGCCGAGGCAGCCAAGGCCCTGGGAAGGAAGAAGACCAGGCTGCTGGGTGTCTGGGAGTTTCTCTGGGTTAAGGACCCCTGAACTGTGTTCTGTCTCCCCAGTCCCACCAGGCACTATTGTACCTCTCTGTTAAGGGCACACCAGATCCTGAGCTGGGCATTTCCAAGTGGCCAGCACCTCCCCTCCACGCACTGCACCTCTTCCCCTGCACCCCCCCAGGCCTCCTCTTGGGGTTCCTTCCTGCCAATGGAATCTATTCAGCTTGGCCTTTGGGCACAGACTTCTGCCGCCTCAGTGCAGCCAGCAGCAGTTCCAGAAATGATTGTGGGCTATGGCCCTGCTAGGACATGGTCATCCCTTGTCCAGGGGACCTACACGCTGTCTCCACCCCTACCTCTACCTGCAGGCATGTGGCAAATATTCACGCCCACACCTTCAGACATCTGCTGAGCATCGCCAGTGCCCAGGCTGGGGGCTGCCAGCAGGCATAAACCCCGTGATTGTATGGCAAGAGGCCTCAGACTGAGGAGTGACATGGTGGGCTCAGGCCAGCTGGCCCTAGCTCATCTCCCCTCTGAGTGTGTGATTTTCAGGTAGCCCCCGAAAAAGTGGGGAGCAACTCTGGTCATACCTGGACATGTGGCTCACTACTCCTCAACAGACAGGAAAACCAAGGCTCAAAACAGAGAAACAGCCGCCCAGGTCGTAGGGCTGGGAGCGGCAGAGCCTGGATCCAAATCCAAGGACCCTCAGCAGCAGGGGGGCGTGACCCAAGCCCCATCTCTCCACTATTCTCTGCCACAGATCAGCTCCCCAGAGCCTGGCCTCCCCCAGTGCCTTCCAACCCGCGCTGTCTGCCAGGGCAGCTGAGATGAACTGGATGATCAGATCTGAGTCAATTAAGCCAGGGCCTGGCGTATGACAGGAGCTGGACCGGGGGCAGCTGGCTTTCCCAGTGGTGTGCATGGTGTGCACGTGAGAGGCCCCTGGGGCAGGGCGGCGTGGGCCAGGTGCTTCAGCCCACAGAGTGGACAGCACATCTCGCACGTCCCTTCCCAGCTCCTGGAAGCACGGGGCCAGATCTGGTGGGCAGGCCTAGGGAGGAGGTGCGAACGGTGTCTCCTTGCTAAGCTGCGGCCTGAGCCCATCAGAGGCCCATGGAGTGTTCACAACCCTCAATAGATGCAGTGAATGAGTCCTGGGCAAAACCGGTGCATGCCCAAGGTCCCACTGGCAGCAAGATCTGAAGTCAGTCCTGTTCAGCTCCGTGCCCTGGCAAGGCAGAGAGAAAGCCCATCTCTGGGTCTCAGCCCCCCTCCTCCAATCACCTTCCCATACTTAAAATGAAATTTGTGAACTGCCAAGTTCTTACTAGACCATGGAGGGAGCAGTGACAAATGGACCCACCTCCCCAGCCATCCCCGCCCTACCCCTCACGCCTACCTTGAGCAGTCTCCCATTGACGGTGCCCAAGAACACAACTGTGTAGTTGTTGGTGCTGGCCACAGCCACGGAGGTGAGGCCTGGGGCGCGGAACACAGGCGTGGACCGCAGCGGCTGCAGGATGGACAGCGGGTGCTGCAGGTGCGCTGCCCCGCAGTCCAGCTGCTCCGGCTGCAGCTGCAGAAAAAGGAAAATGAGACCTCTGCCCGTCAGGGCTGCAGCCCCCACACCAACGGGACCCTGTACCCACCCTTGACCTTGACTCAAAGGAGTGAATTTCCAGACTCCCAACAGGTATTGAGTGAGGAGGACAAGGAGAGCTGAGTCCTCCCCAGGGCCTACCCCTGTGCATCTCTGCAGCAACCTGGGGTCTCCCCCTACCAACCCCAGCACCCCCACACCCCAACTCCAGGGAAAGGCCTCCCTCAGGGGCCCTCCTTTCCTTCCTTCCCCACATAGATCCCCTCATGTGCCCACATGGCAGTTGGGCAAACTGAGGCCAACCTTCTCTGAAGGTTTAGGGTTGCCAGTGCCCCCTCAAAGGAGTTGACAGCTGTGGAGGGGACCCCAGTCTCATCATCCCCTGGACCTGCTTCTGCCCTCTCCCCACCTTTTCCTGGCACCCAGGGGTGCGTGCTAAGCTTCAGAAATATGCAGGAAAAAAGAAACAGGAGTGCCTGTGAGATGCAAATGGGCCCAGTTGAGGCTTAGACAGGTAAGAAAGAGATGGGACTCAGCAGTACAGTCAGCACATGGTCCCACAGCCAGCGCTTGCCCCAGTGATGCCCTCCATCCACAGTGGTAGCCCTGCCAAGTCCTACCTCACAGATGGGGAAACCGAGGCACAGAGAAGCCCACAAGCAGCCATGTTGTGCTTAAACCCTGTCCCTGGTCCCGCCTACCACAGGCTCCAAGCAAGGACAGGGAGGTCACCAGTCCATGGCCTTGTAAGGATCATCTGAGCCCAAGCAGCCATTCCTCCTTAGACTTCCTGTCGCAATGGTTGTAAGCCTAAGCCACTGAAGAGGCCTGAGTGTGGATTCTGCACTGAGCTCAGCTGGTTTTCAAAGGACACAATGGCCAGCAGGTCCGGCTGGCCTAGATGATAGTAGCTGAGGCCCTGAGGGTGGTGAGACTGACAGCAGCACGTAAAGGGCTCCAGGCCAATACCCAGGAGGGCGTGGCCTTCCAGAGCAGGGCTGCCGACAACCTGAGCATTTCCCTTCCCCAGGCCTCAGTCAACTCATCTGCAGTACCTCCCGTACAGGGGCTGGGATGCTCCTTGTACAGCACAGGCCCAGCGTGTGGACCACAGGGAGGGCCTGGGAACCATTCGAGGATGCTGCTGGCATCCTCCGCTCACCCAGCCGCCAGCCCATCTCACTCATCCCTTTCACAGGGGTCCTCCCACCCCACCCCACCCACAGCCCTCCTGGGTGGTTTCTGGAACATTCTGAATAAATCCTGGATCCTGACTCCTGCCCATGAACCTTGCTCCCACTTGTCCACACTTCAGTCCAGCCTCACCAGCCTCATTTCTGTTAGTCGGGTCCTGCCCCAGGGCCTTTGCCCCTGCTGACTCCACCGCCTGAACACCAGCTGCCAGCTTGTGGGATAACTGGTTCCTTCTTATGCCTTAGCCCTCTTCTGCCCAACCTTAGTTGGGGCAGCCCTGGAAAGTGGGTGCTGTCCCAGCTCCTAGCAGCTTCTCCCCGGCTGGGCCCCAGCCCTTGACCATCCCAAGTTGGGGGCCAGGAGGATAGTGGGGCTTGGGTGGTTACATAAGCTTCCTTCATTGAATATGGATTACTGGCTTCATTGAAAATTAAGTTGTTTCAAAATTAAAATTGTAAACACTTGCCCAAGGGAAAAAGCCCTGGGAAGGGAAATCGGGGTGGTGTATTTGGGAGTTTTTTGCACAGGGGTCTCCACTGCGCCAGGATGGGGGTCTCGGGGGAAGCCAAGCCAGCAGCCCCGTTTGCTCACTTGCTTGTTCACACGGTGGGCCAGGGCAGGAGGGGGAGCAGCCTGGGAGTCAGCCTCGCCTGCCCGCCCCGACAAGCCATTAATTCTGCACCGAAGGAATTTTCTAAAAAGCCTTTCCCCCAACTTTTTTTTTCTTATCCTAAAAATAAAACCTTAGGAAAAAAAAACTGTTAAAGGAGAAGTGAGCCACAGGCTGCGGCAAACGCTCTGTGCTCTCAGGGAAGCCAACTGCCCAGCCGAGACTGTCAGGCTGCTGCAATCGGGAGCTGGAAGTGTCCCCCACCCGATGGCCAGCCCAACCAGGGGAGGGGCCGGGCCGGGACACAGACTGCTCAGGCCCCAGCCCACACTAAGCACTGCCCCGTCACCCTGCCCGACTCCTTCACCACAGCCGCCCTGCCCCCAAGTCTCCATGCCTGGGTCTTTCCCAACTCTGATTCCCCCGGGGGGCAGGGGAGGGCTGTGCAATCCCAGCAGCCCCCTGGCCCCTGGCAGCACACCATCCTGGCTCCCCCGTTGTCCTCCCATCAAGCCTGGTGCTCCAGTCTGTCACAGGCCTCCAATCTCCAGTCCCCTCCCCCACTAGCTCCCCATAGCCTGCTGCAACCATGCGCTGATGGCTACCGTTTCCTAAACTCACTGGTCCTTTCCTTTGCTGTAGGGACTCCCGCACCTTCCAAAATCTGTACTCTGTACCCAGCACCCAACCCATACCTCTGTGTTTCCCCTGGCAGTCCAGGGGACTGCCCTGCAGGTCCAGGTGGCCAGTGTGGTTGAGCCCTCCTGTATAAAGGTCCTGTGTGGCCATGACGGTCCCCTTAGCCGCCTCCTCTGGGCAGCCTGTGCTTAGGCTGTTTACTAAAGAAAGGAAACTGCTTCTGACTAAAGTGCGAATGACTATACTCAGCTGCTTCCTCTCCCTGCAGAGTGACGGAGTGCAGCATGGCTATTGTGGGCTGCTGGAGAACTATTTGCCTACTATATGTAGTATCTCAAGGACAGCAGGTGTTTGGGCCCGAGCAACACCTAGCAGCCAGGTGGGCTCCCCATAAAAACCCCAGCTTATCCCTCCCTGAAATGGGTTGTGCCAGCTGTGACAGTGCCCGGCCCAAGTGAGGTCCCCAAGCCACAGCAGCTAGCACATGATGGCTGTCAGTCTTCAGTGGCAGACCACGTGGTTGCCCCTGCTGGCGGATGGGCTGCTGGCACCGCAGCTGAAGGGGAGGGCATGCAGGGCAGGTGGAGGGCACTGAGGGCAAAGTCAGGGCTGGCTCCTCCGCAGTGACCAATGTCCCTGGTAACCTGAGACGCGACCACGGGGATTCGAGGAAAGGCGTGCAGGGTCATGCTTGTGTTGTCACTGTCCACTCTGAGGTCCTTCCCAGGCGTTTGGCATAGGGGTTAAGACACCTCTTAAGTCACCTGCACTCGATACCTCAGAGCCTGAGTTGCTTCCTTCTGCTGAGCTCCCTGGGGAGCAGCAGATGACAGCTCAAGTCCTCAGGGGACCCACGGACTCCTGGCGCTGCTCTGCCCCAGCTGTGGCCGTCGTAGGCATTTGGGGAACGAACCAGTGAGGAAGATTATCCTTCCCTTTCCCTCTGTCTTTTAAACAAAGCGAAAATAAGTACTTTCTAATTAAAATTTGTCCCGTTTTTTAAAAATTATTATTTTATGATCCAGTTTCATAGGCTGTGAGATTTCCCTGACCCCCTCCCCAAATTAAAATATTTTTAAAATCCCTTGGGGCCTGCATGGTAGCATAGCAAGTTTATGTCTCACCTGTGGTGCCAGCATCCCACATGGGCATGTCACAGCTGCTCCACTTTTGATCTAGCTCCCTACTTAGGACCTGGGAAAGCAGTAGAGGACGGCTCAGGTCCTTGAATCCCACCTGAGTCTCCCATGTAGGTGCAGGTCTTAAGGACCTGGGCTGCTTTCTCAGGTCACAAGCAGGGAGCTGCATGGGAAGTAGAGAGCTGGAACACAGACTGGCACCTATATGGGATACCAGCACTTGCAGGTGGAGGATTAGCCCATTGGGCTGTTATGCCAACCCCAAAATAAATAAATTTTTAAAAGTCTCTGCGAAGTTAGTCAAGTCCTATTGCAACTCATTAGCCGTCAATGGTTTCCTGGGATTCTCAACATAAACTGATTTTGCTCCATCTGACCCCGACCCATGTAGCCCTGTCACAACTCCTACCCCAGCACTGACAGCCCAGGTGTGGCCGGGGCCTCCCGGACTCCCTGTCCCTGAGCCTGAGAAATCTGGCATTTGTCAAGTCCAAACCTGCCTCCCATCTCACGACCCAAACCTGCAGGACCAGGAGAAGGCCTGTGAGCCAGCAGGTGCCTGCTGGGGACCAACAGCCTTCTCCAGAGTCAGGCCGGTGTTGGTTCCTCCCCCGGCCCCCATGCCCTCAGAGGCTCTTAGGGCCAGAGGGGAATCGTCAAGGTCGCCCAGGCCCTGGGCCAGCTCAGGCCTGGAAGTCTCCCTGCCATTCCCCTCCAGGGGCTCCCACTTGACACTCAGCACACTGGGGCTCCCCCCAGTTGGCCTCATCACCCAGGGTAAGCTGAGACACAGAAAGGGCCAGGGCCTCCTCGGTCCAGCCTGGTGGTCTCGGGCAGGGAGGAAGCCCCTGCCACTGAGAAAATGTGAGCCCTTGACCAAGGAGGAAAGATGCTTCCTAAGGGGGCAAGGAACAGAGGGGGGGCAGTCAGGAGCCTTGTTCCTGAGCCACAGAGGAAAAGCAGCTGGGAGGAATGCTTGGGGAAACTGAGGCACGGAGAGGGGAAGAGGCTTACTCAGGACACAACACACAGCACAGTAGTTCCGCACCTGGCCCTCAGGACGCTAGGACAGGGCAGGGCAGGATGAGCAACATGGCAGCCAGGACAGACCCTTCCAAAACTTAAGGGAGGCCTGGGTCACTTTCTCCAGGCCCTTCTCTGGGGGAGGTGGGTTGCCTAGCCTTGGGGCTTTGAGGCCTTCCAGACAGCTGGATACCATCTGGAGGGTCATCCAGCCAGCCAGCCATGCCGCCTGCCCCACCCACCCAGGACAGGCCCACGACGAGGGGCAGAAACCCGGCTGAGTATGAGCAGTGTGCTATGCATGACCTCACAGCCCCCTGGGTACACGTGCTGTTGTGTGCCCATCCTTCAGATGGGGAGGCTGAACCTCC